TCCCCCTCACGAAATTTAAAAGTCGCGGCTTTTCTTGGATATATCCGGTGATTGTGTAGGACATACTGGAACGCAGGTACGCTACGCATCGTCCGCAACGGGCTATGCAGACTACGTAGAAAAATCCGCTGAGCGACTAAGCCAAACGAGATGAAATTACGTCACCGAGAAATTCATTCCCTAGTGGATCCATATACCCCAGACCCGCCTGTACTCGAGTATAGACGGATAGGTCACCATACATCACTCGAATACAGCTTTCGATTATGAAATCGGAAAATTCACTCAAGGACCAAAGGACACACCTTCCCCCCCCCCCCCTTTTCAGGGCCGTTTGTGGATCGCCATGGCCCTTCTGCTTTAGAGTGGGCCTACAAAGTTACTAGGTCTAAACTCCATATATTCTTTCCCCATTTCACCTACCTGCTCTGAGGATGTATAGAGCGAGAAGCATTCGATGCGAGCAATTCAATGCAATGTGATACGGCTTCCATGTAGCGGGGAGCTTAGCTTGAGAGGCGCTGTCAGTTCGGGCACACCGTGTACTTCGCCTCGCCCCACTTCTGCAAGAGTCAGAGTAAAAGAATTCAAAATTTTATATTCAAAATTTCTAAACGCCAAGGAGTTTATTCAACATTTTCCCTGAGAAAGTTTTATAGGGGGGAATTTGGTGAGCCGTGATGACCCGAAAAACCGACAATTCTAATACCATCCCCATGTTCAGCGAATTTCCCAAGCCCGTCGCCTTCCCTCCGGGGAACCCGCAAAAGATGTGAAGAGAAAGAAATAGATATCATCCTCATCTAGCAAATATATAGGAACCAACTAAAGAAAAATGGCACACAAACAAAGTCCCATCATCTAAACTCGTTCATAAAGTCCTTGTGAAACTTCTCGAGTCTTGCCACCCAGTCGACTCCGGGGGCGAGGAAGGTGGTTCTAAAATGCCACTCGCCTTCGCGCTGGCCGAACCCGCTCCCAGGGGCAACACAGATACCGGTTGCTTCGAGGAGTCTCACACAGTAGTACTCATCGGGGGGGCGACCCACCTCCTGCGCCTTCTTCGCTGCCGCGGTGGGGATGGTGATTGTCGGGAATAGGTACATGGCACCGAGAGGGTCTTGGCATTCAACACCCTCCATCCTACCAAAGGCTTCGTGTAGAGCGCGAGAACGGAGCTTCAGGCCTTCAAAAATGGAGTTGTACTCTTGCTGGTAGAGCTCGTAGGATGGTGACCCCGGAGCCGGTGGGTTTACCATCATTTCGACAAGGCACTGCCCAATGACAGGAGGACAGATGCCAATGGAGACCAATTTGTAGATTTGGGCTTGTACCTCCGGGTCAAAGCCGACCAGCTCAAAGTAAGCACCCCGGTGGCCACATTCCCCCACCATTCCTTTGGAAACAGAATGGAACGAGACAAGTTCCACCTCGTCATAAACGCCCGGCGATGCCTTCTGCATGTTGCGCAGGACCTTTTTGAGGGAATGGAATTCGCCCGAGTAGACGTTGGTTTGGTAGACTTCGTCAGCGATGATAACAAGGTGCTCTTCCGCAGCCAAGGCAATGACCTCTTCGATCACAGACTCCGTAAGCGTGGCACCGGTTGGATTTCCTGGATTGATTACAACGAGGCATTTAAGGTCAGTACCAGCTGCCTTGGCCTTTGAAATCTGGGAACGAATCTCCTTGGCATCAGTGGACCATGCAGTAGCCTCGTCCAAAAGGTAGGGAACTGGGGTGGCGTTGACAAGAGCAAGCGTAGCGGTGTAAAGCGGATATTGGGGGATCGGTATCAATACCCCGGTGGCGGGGTGCGAGCAGAGGGTGTTTAAAAGGGTATTGACCCCAGAGGAAGCGCCGGCTGTCAAGAAGATATCGCGGGGGTCCGCGGGGTGTCCATCGCGAGCTATTAAAGTCTCAAATTAGCCCCCAACGCACCCTAGCCCCGTGTAGGAGGGCATGCGAACCCTCAATAAACTTTGCGACACTCCGCCTAATTCCTAGACATCCTTGGCTCTGGGAATAAGCACCAACGCTTCCCACCTCCTTCAAAAGAACCCTCGCTCTCTCCCGGACATCCTCAGGGAACAGTCCCTCCTTTTCCAACAGAGCCGGGTACTCGAGTACACTCAAAACCTGGCGGAAAAAGGTGATGGGCTTCTGGTCTAACTGCTGCGGGTTTCCAATGTTTGCTGAAATAACGGTATCGAAGGGCAGTTTGTCGCCACCCTGTTGCGCACCCTCAGTATCTGTTAGTGCTGTCGAAGGGCTACAGGAGGGGGGGGGGTTCACGGCAGCAAGCTGTTGACGGTACACTTCGGAGCGTTGGGCAAGCTCGCCACGGACAGCATACTGAGCTTTGAGGAGGTGAGGGTTGATGTTCTTGATGTTTAAAGCTTTGCGAGGAGATGATGTAGACATATTCAGGACTGCTTGTGGGGACGAGGTCAGTTCAGCCAAGTGAGAGTCGCCGGGGGGATGAAAGGTAGAAAGGGCGAATAGAGAGAGGATGCGAGGGAGAAGAGGGAGAAGAAGTGCAGGCCAGAAGGAGCAGTACTCGTAGCAGAGCGGGCAAGAAGGTTCCTGAAACAGGGATCGTGAATGTGTATGGGGCTCAGATAAGCACGGTCTTTTTACCAAACATCCCGTGAAACCCCGTTTAAGTGTGCTTCTTGCCTCTGCTACAAAACCGAGACGTGGACGGGGGAAAGTGAGAAAGCCCTCAATGCCAGTGCGATTGCCCTAGGCATGCGATTGTAGGGCCCAGGGCCTGGGGCTCCAGCTGACGAGCCCAACCGATCAGGAGAAGATTCGGGAGTGGAGGAAGGAGAAAAACTTACCCTGACTTTTAGGTTTCAACCTCAATCCTGTTCGAATAGCCAACGACCGTAGGGGAACCCTCATCCGTGTTATATAAAGAGCCCACCGTTCTCGTGGGGTGGGGTAGGTAATTGTGCGAAGTCAGGAACGCGGGCGCGGAGGAAAAATACGTGGGGTCGGGTAAGTTACCGGTGCACCGTAGTATGATACTGTATGTAGCAGGCTGCGTGGGGCGATAACAGCGGCTACGCCATGTATCACCACCGTGCCGATATCCCAGGCCGAGGGAGATTTTTTCCGTGTCTTTCCCTCGGGGGTGAACCAAACAATCATCATTGAAACCCATTCCGGCCCATTCCGGCGTCGCGAGATTCTCGAGTCGTGAGAATTGGCAGGTCTTTGCAGTCCGGTCTGTTTTGTGGTGTCTGCCGGTACACTATCCTGTGTGGGTACCCGCAGCTCCACCCTTCTACTCGAGTAGAACCTCCCGACGCTGGGAAAAACCTTAGGTGTCATAGGGTGGGATGGCTACTATCGCCGGATCCCGATGCAGGGGTGAAAAAAGAAAGGAGCCCCTGGTTCACTTTTTCTTTTCGCTTAGTAGTTTTCACAAAGAGAAGGCGTCTGGAGCCCCACCATGGATTCGCATGTTTGCCCACTCTTTTTCGAAATTCCCCACCTATCATACCCCTCCGAACCAACCAACCCTCTCTCTCTCAAGGAGCGGCAGCTTATGGAATTGGGGATGAGCCGATTTCGGGTGGTTCTTTGTAAAGTTCTACCGGTACTCCAAAGGAAAAAAAAAAAACTCCTCAGCTTCTGCTGGGGCTCGTCTGTCGGCCGATCTGGTCGTGGTGAAAGTCGTTTTCAGATGCCCGGGTGCGCAGTCCGAGGGCAGATTTGAGACTATCCCATCTTCCATCCCGTGTTCGCGATGTATCGTCATCCCACAGATCGCCCCTACTCCGATACAAGTATCATACACCCTTCAACGAGGGCATTGCCAAAATCGGCGGGTGAACTGCAAGGGAAACTTGGCAGGTAGAAATGCAATCCGGTCACCTCCCGGCTTTCGTCGTGCCCCCCTTGTCTTATCGTTCGGCTCTCGTAAAAAAAATTACTCCAAGAACTCTTAGAATCCACTATTGGGCAATCACCCCATAAGCCCGGGATAGGCTTAGTTTGACGAATCAACGGGTGCAAACACCAGCGGGAGATCCAGAGCACCTGGAGGGCTCCGGCTATGCCATGTCGGGAAAGCACTAGTCTCCCTTGGGAACCTTTTCTCCTGCTAGGATACCGGGAACCTGCCAGAAACGGCGAATTATCAGGGTTCTTCCGGCAGTCTGCGATTCTTCCGAACCCTTATTTGCCTCGGAACAGAAGTGCCCGGAAGCAGGGATTGAGGAAATATGGTAAAAAGAATCATCAGTGCGTATGGATGATAACCGGAGGCCAACAGAAAATCGTCCCCCTCGTGCTTTCGAGCACTTCTCTCCTGGGGTGAGTGCCGCAAAAGTGCGGGCGGAAGGTAGCATGAGACATTTTGGCCTCCGTAGCATAAAAACAGTTATTCATCTAGAACTGCTTGATTCGTGCCATTTACGAGTGGGAATTTATGATGATGGTACGGACCGATTACTTCTGGAACATGCGTAGCCTGCAACATCATACATATATGCCCTAGAAATACGTTATCCATTCACCTATTTTATTCTATCCTGTACAAGTATATCATCCCTAGCGATGACTGCTGACCCGCTTGTGGTCTACAATATCTGTCATACCGTCATGTTAGCCTAGGCTCAGGGCCCTCTCGGAGACAGGCCAAAACTTATGCACCCTATAGATATTACGGTTAACACAGGCTCCTATAGTATCATATGGCAAGCTCCGATCGAGGAACTGAGCCGGGTTGCGCCAGATGCAGCTGATCTGGCTCGTCGTCATCAATTCCATTCTTGGTTTATTGGCAAGTATCAATATCCCGGAGACCCGAGGACAATATGACGAAGAACAGCCGATAAAAGCGACTTTGGCAACGAAACCCACCACCCTCGAAGATGCCCAAAAAATTAGGGAAACTTGTTTTGGTAATCGAAACACTGCAGAACCACCTACAGACTCTGGAATTTGATAAATCAGCTGGCTTCTCACCCCATGGCCGCATAAATCTCTGACCACGCCGACAATGCATTGAGCCAAACTGGTGAGCCCGACGTTTGGCAGGCAGGTGATAATACAGATCGCACAGAGGGGCACCTGGAGGGGTGAACTTAGGGGAAGAGAGCGTAGCAGCGTCAGCTGAGAAAGCCAGGAGTTCGCAATCCTTCACTGCCGGAAACAAGCCAATTTCTGGCGGGAGCGTTCGAGGGGTCAGGGAGTTTGAGTAAGCAGCTCTGCTTGTGGCATAGCTGTATAAGCTCACAGAGGTATACCGGGGGAACAGGGTGCGTCCAGCTTCTACCCCCCGGTAGCCGCCAAAGTACACTAGTCTCTATCCGGGTGAGAACCTGTGATGAAATAGTGGGACACCGGGTTTTCTCATTTCTCTGGAAGAATCACTCCCAGAGGTGAGCACTACCATTGCGATTTGGGAGGTAACCTGCACGATTCCCATCCGCGGAGTTGAAGAATCCAGCACTTTGCTCCTCACCCTGCCTCTCGGTTGCCGGAATTGCCCCCCCCCCTAAAAAAAGGGAGACGATCAAAATCTTTATTTTGCCAGTTCAAGAAGGCATTTCTCTAGAATCCAAGTCCTCCACTTGTGGAAAACATCTATGGACGGCCGCCACCGTGGATAAGAGCGTTGTGAGAAAGCTGATCATTGGAGCAATTCTGACCTGCCTGTGCTGAAATATCTAATCATATCACTGCACGATTGCCCCTATGTATTATGGATGTCCCAACAAAAGGGGGTCCCGTCTGTTCGATATTTGAGATAATATGTTGGGTTTCCTAAGCAAAGGAATGGTGGCAGAGGTTCTACAGGCTATCCCGGGGGGGGGGGGGGTATCTGATCCGCTCTCTGTTTTCCAGTTGCCTATTGAGCGGTAGCCTGGGTTTATCAGTAACTTGTGTATAGGCATATTATACCAGCCTTCGCAAAATAAAATACATGCCTTGTATCGCTTCTGTGTATTAAGCGGGTAAGGGAACTCCAGATACCTGTTAACGTTTTCGCAAAGCCGTAGCCACGATGTCGGAAGCTCGTTTAATTGATCCTGGGCTTCCCCCCCGATATAACTGCGGCGCGCCTTTTTCAAATTCGCCCGTCGGTGGGGAAATATTCGATGTGTGAGATCTTCGCCAGCGGGTCGACTGAGGTACTGTAAACGCCAACAATTTTCGAACCCCCATCGCAGGTGACCTGCGGGGTGGCCGGGATAGTAGAATAAGGATAAATAATACTTGGGCCCACTGTGTCGTGCCCGTAGTAACAACCCAGTTGGCGATCGAATTTAGCCACCACGATTTTCCTGCGAAGATATTGTATTTCTAGGCTGTGCGGAGTTATTGCGATTCTCCGTACGACTATCACAGCTTCAGCTCCGGTTTTTTCTTCTTTTTTTAGTGTTTTCCAGCTTGAGAACCGTGGTGGGCGTTTGGGGATCTACCCCAAAACCTTGACACCCCAGATATTTGCATCAATTTTCCCACTTCCTATCATACAAGATCGAGCCAACACCAAGCCTTCAGGAGTTGAGGAGGAGCCGAACCCCCGAACACTACATAATCGGGGCTTTTCGAGGGGGGCTAAAAAAGACTCGAAAGTTCGCGACCCAAGAACGACAACGGTATTGTGAGAACCAGAACACAAGTAGCACCGGGATGGATGCTTTCGATTAAGCCACGTCCTGGAGGGGTGCTCAGCCAAGCCGGGTTATGATACAGCCTACGGTATCATACATTAAAAGGTGCCCTATCAAAAAGTTAGTGAATCACGCAAGTTGCGGGAGTGGGTCGTACTTTGTCCAGCGCAGGAATTAACCCCAACCCTTACCCCGCCGGCTGAGATCTGAGAGGTCTCCTCTCTCAGCGATAGTGGAAACAAACTTGTTGAGGAAGAGCCGCCTCACCGGCGGTCTAGTTTCTTGCTCTTACCAAGCTACTTAATGGAGAGGACTCGGTTCGAGTAGGTTGAAATTAGAATAGGCCCGTGACGATTTCTTGCGTGTGACAATGCACTCCTATCGAGGGGGCCTTGAGCCGAGCTACTATAGAAAATGAGAATTATCGCATCTGAATACGTAGTTTAGGAGGTGATGCTTTGCAAGCGGGGATTCTTTACCAAGCTCAGGAGCTATCAAGCCCGACCCCCCAGCATCAGGCACGATCCCAATAACAGGAAACAGGCCGTGAGTGCGGGGTTCTAGGACTGGCTCATGATCTATATCACCTGTGAATGCTGGGGCACCCAAAGGGATTGAAGAGGCATGGCTGCGGATGGAGAACAATTCTCTTCCGGCTTCTGGGCTGATGATCTCCGGGAACTTTTTCTCGAGCTACCTGCTCGAGGTCAGTGATGATGTCGAGCGACGGACAGACCATGCAACTGCTGCGCCCTCAAGTCTCTCTGAATGCGCTATCAGATTACCAGC